CCTTTCTTTCTTTGCTTTGAGAGACACTTGCTATACTTCGCTGAAGCCTGAGGGGCCTAACTCCTCAAGGCTTGTTGTTTGCGCTGGCGTCAGCACTCTCATCTGGGTGAGGCCACCTTTGTGAGAGCACGAAGGCACTGAGGCCTTTGAAAAGCCTTCCTTAGCAGTAGCCAGTGTCTTACACTCAACCCCAGCCACTCGGAGGCTGACATCTGAGGACCAGCCTGGGAAAGTCTATGAGATTCTTATCTTCAGTTAACTAGCAAAAAGCCACAAGTGGAGTTATAGATCAAATGGTAGAGTGCCAGCCTTGAGTAAAAAAGCTCAGAGACAGCTTCCAGGCCCTGGGTTCAAGTCCTAGGACCAGCACAAAATAAAATAATGAAGCCATCCTTTAAAAAAGCATTTCTGAGTTGGGCAGCAGTGGCTGTCTGTATTCCTAGCAACTCTGGAGGCTGAGGTCTGAGTCTTCAGTTCAGAGCCAACCCAGGCAGAAATGTCTGTGATACTCTTATCTTCAATTAACCACCAAAAAGCTGGAGGTGGAGTTGTAGCTCAAGTAGTAAAGTGCCAACATTGAGCACAACAGTTCAGGGACAGTGCTAGACCCTGAGTTCAGCCCTAGGAGCAGCACCGAAGCAGGAAAAAAAAAATGTCTGTCTGTTGGTCCTGGGTGCCGGCATGGTTCTGACTCACCTGAGGTCCACCGTTGCTGGCTGGGCTTCTGCACTGCTCAGTGAGCTGTGTGTGTGCGTGTGCATGCACTTGTGTGTGTGTGTGTGTGTGTGTGTCTTTTTCCCTTCACCTTTACCCTGATTCTCCTCTTACCACCTCTCTGTGCTTTGACTGAGTCAAGCAGTGCTTGTAGCAGAATCGAATAGCTCCTCTTACCTGACACTGTGCAGCACCAGGAAGGAGCAGCCCAGAGAGAAGAGTGAGCGTAGTGGGTAAGGGCTGCTCCGCCGCCCCTGTCAGGGAAGTGTTCCCTTCCCCTCCCTCAGGGTAGTAGGTCACCACTGCAGGGCCAAAGTTTAGGCCAGAACCCAAGATTCCTAACTTCAAACCCTAACTACCTTGTACCACCCAGGAATTGTTCCGTGAAATGCCCGCTGTACTAGGAAAGGGCCTAGAATGAAGTGGAGAGATGCGCTGAGTTCTGAATGGGGTCTTGGTGAGTCCTACACATGGCCCTCCGTGAGTTCACTGTGCCAGCTTGAGGTGCAGGGAGCTGGGCGTGGCCCGGGGCTCTGGGCCAACGAGTCAGTCCCTTGTTAGCTCCACTCTGTGCCTTTGGGTGTTTCCCTCTCCCAGTGACTTGAGACAAGTTCAGCCATTGCAGCAGTGTTTAATACACACACAGTTGACATTCAGGTTGGGATTTGAGGAGAATGCTGCCTAGAAGATAGGGACATAAATAGATTGTCATTTAGAGATTGTGTTGTTCCTTTCATCTATATTTTATCTAGAGATAGCATTGAGTCTTTCAGACTCGGCTAGTCCTTCTGCATCCTCACAGCTCTGAAAGACCCACTGAAAACCCTGGCTGCGCAGAGATACCTTCCCTAGAATCTCTGCAGCTTTGAGAATGTCTTTTGCTGTCTTGGATTGTCATCTTCTGTTCCCACACTCGTGGTATCCTCTTGGCATCAGGAAGTCCATGCTCCTAAGGGACCCCAGGAAGCTATTTCCCAAGGCATTCGCTGTGTTTACCATCCAAGCTTTCACTTGGAACATTGTGCAGTGCCTCTTTTTGTCACAAATGATGGGCTGGGAAGATGGCTCAGTGGTAGAGCACTTGCCTTGCATGCATGAGGCCCTGGGTTCGATTCCTCAGCACCACACAAGCAAAAAGAAAAAAGCCAGAAGTGGCTCTGTGGCTCAAGTGGTAGAGTGCTAGCCTTGAGCTGAAGAGCTGAGGGACAGTGCCCAGGCCCAGAGTTCAGGCCCCACGACCGGACCCAAAAAAAACAAAAACAAAACAAATGAGAACAATTCAGATTACTTAATTGAAGCTTTGTGGATTTGCATCAAGAGTGAAACCAGTGTCCAAAGTATTATCTACATTTTGAGATGCTGACTGCATTGGTTAGTCACGGTGTACTTAGTGAGGAATGGCCCATAATGGTGTAGTCAACAGATAGCTATTTTTTTCTCAGAGGAAACCCATAAATTGTTAGGATCAGTGTGCATCATGTACAAAAATGTGAAAAAAAATGCATCTTTCCTGTTACACTTTCCCTCCTCACTTTTGTGTTCAGCCTCTACAGTGGGGCCTTCCTTTTGAGTAGATGGGCTTCTGTAGAAGTGGGCTTCTGTAGAAGTGGGCTTCTGTAGAAGTGGGCTTCTGTAGAAGTGGGCTTCTGTAGAAGTGTATAAGTAAATGTGATATCCAGAACTATTGCTGTGTGCCTCCTGCATTAGTGTATCCCCTATTCCTGTAAACTAATCCATGTTTAACAAACATTTATTGAAGATCCAGTATGTTCTAGGCCCTGTACTACATTCTAGGAAAACCAAAATCACTTTATCCTGGCCCCTGTTTTCAAAGAGTTTGCAGTCTATGGAGAAGAAAAAATGTAATCCAAACCTTAGAAAGCCGTGGTGTGGCTGAGAATGCAGCCAGTGGTGGGACGCTTGCTCCGCATGCCGCCCTGGGCACACAGCGGGGGATCTGCAGCATGTCTGACCTCGCTTATAGGTTCTGGGTAGGAGAGTAACACTGCAGAAGGGGAGGGAATGAGCTTGGGTGTTTTCAGAAGAGAGGACCCTAGATTAAGACTTTGAAGGATGTCTAGAGTCTCTAGACACAAACGTGGAGAGTTCAAATGGCTGCCGGCCTTTGCAGAGGTGCAGTCGAGCTGCACAGTGTGTCAGGAATCTCAGGGAGCTTGTCTCAGTAGCACCCTGAAGGTACATCCACTGCTCAGAGCTTATTCCCAGGCTGGCACCTAGTTTACGTGTAGGACGGAAGTCTGGTTTGTGCCGGGCAGTGTGTCTATCTCTTAGCAGAAGGGTCCCCAAGACTGTTTCTCTTCCTTCTCAGCACAGCCGCTGGCAGCTTTTGCCTGTGTGTAGTAGCTGGTGTCTGTTGAATAGCTCTCCTGTTCTTGCTCTGTGTTCCCCGAGGCACCCGCCGGAGGAGCTGCCTGCAGTCGGTGCTTGTACCCTGGGTAACCCATCTAGACTTGTTCTTCTGTTTTCCAGTCCTGCTTGTCTGCTCGGCTCTCTTCCCCCTCGTGTCCCTCTAGGTCAGCGGACATATCGGGTGCGCTGGAGGCTCCTGTTTCCTGGGCTGCGAGCGCGTGGATCGCTAAGCCCGTCGGTTAGGAGCTGTTTGCGTTGAGGGACCACAGTTTTGAGATGCTCCCTGTGGGGCGGGCAGCAGCGCCGCTCCTGCCGCTGCGGTGCTTCCTCCACACTGCAGACAGGAACTAAGGCCTAAGAAAGATGCGGTGATTTGCCTGAGGTCGCACAGCTGGTAGAGGGAGGCTGGTAATAGGACTCGATTTCAGCTCGGCTTTGCCCCTGCCTGTGCCTGCCCACGGTGGAGCCGGGAGCGGTTGTCCTGACCTCCAGGTCCAGAGGCCCTGGCGCTTCACTTCTCAGTCCCTAATTGCTTCTGTGGCAGCTGTGTGTCCACGCCTCACCCCTCACACACGGGCGCCTCCGGTGTGGAGGCCGTCCACGAGCCTGGCTGCGCCCCGTCCCCTCCCCCGCCACACCCTCAAGCCTGCGCCTGCCGCTGGAACCCCAGAGCCGTCACACTTGAGTTTTCACAATGTCCTCCTTGCGAAAGGGGGTGGCGGATGTCCTTCCAGAGCTGAGCCTCTCGCTTATCCAGGGCCAGGCCTCTGCGGTGTTCACTCGTTCCCGCAGTGCCCGAACCTGTGGAGGGAGCTCATAGGCCAGCTTTGACCGGCCGGGGCGGCGGGGCCAAGGGCTCGCGAGCATGCCCAGGTGCTCTGTGTGCTCCTCGAGTCCAGTGGGCGCCAGGCAGCTCTGGGCAGAGGCCAGGTGACCACCAGGGAGGCGAGGACATTCCAGAACATGACGCAACCTGGGCCCCCGAAGGCCTGAGGAGGAGCCTGGGAGTTTGGAGAGCAGAAGGGGGGCAGGGCCTAACGAGCAGGATAGGGCAAAGCTCAGTTCTCTGCCAGCAGCCATGGCAAAGCCTTCGGTTTAGCCTAAAAGAGTAGGAAGACATTTTGACGTTCTAAGCAGGGAATGACCTGACCTTCAAAGGAGACTCGTTGGGGCTGCTGTGGGGAATCGGCTGGCCGGAGTGCCTGGTGCAGGTGTGGCGGCAGCGGGCCTGTGAGCCTACGGGAACGCCACGGTCTCGCCAAAGAGCCGGCGGGTGCTAGGCGCTCACTCACACACAGCGAGACCCAGAGAGGAGTCTTGGGAGAGTCCCAAGGTGCCAGGCCTAAGCACCGCTCCATACTTACATAAAACTGCAAATCCTGAAATGCACTCCAGAGATATGGAGACAAAAGAGTCAGCAGATGGCCTGGTACCTGGGTGTGGGATGAGGCAGGGAACGCGGCTTGGCACCCGGCGGGCACTGGCTGTTGGACAGGCTGGGTCCTGGTCTTCCTCCCGAGGTCCCTTCAGCAAGGGTTCACCTCCAGGCCCAGCCGGAGGCGCTCCCTCAGTGGGGTGAGCAGACAGAGCTGTTCCTCCCCAGGTGTGCGTTCAGAGCAAGGGTTTGTGTCAGTACTGCCACCGTCACGACAGCACCTGAGAATCAGCCACAGTACGTGCATTTGAAACGTGACTAGAAATGTTGGAAGTTACTGAGCTGCCTAAGGGTGTCAGTTGCTTCAAATCTACCTCTGGTTGAAATTTGATCTCACAGCCTCTTTGTGAGAGCGCTGCCCCGTAGACACCAGCTCTCCGGAGCTTTCCACAAGTTTCTAGTCCCAGTTGGTTTGTCGTTCAACTGCTTAGGTAAACTGAATATTAATTTTGATATGTGATTAGAACATTTCTTTTTGTAGGCTTTACCGCCAGCACCTGTTCAGAACCACACAAATAAACATCAGGTATTCAATGCATCTCTTCAAGACCATATTTATCCGAGCTGTTTTGGGAATACTCCAGAGTGGAATAGTTCTAAGTTTATAAGTCTTTGGGGATCAGAAGTGATGAATGATAAGAACTGGAATCCTGGCACTTTCTTGCCAGATACAATTTCTGGTAAGGCATCTGTTCACATTTCTTAAGGTTTTGAATGCTCAGAGCCACGTAGCCTTGTTGCTCTCCCGTGGAGGCCCAGCGCTGCCGTGCCAGCCTCCACGCCCCTCCCCCACTTGCCCAGGGGCTCCATGCTGTCTTCTTTACCCCCTCCCCTCACCCCAGACCCCTGCTGCTGAGAGTCTGGTCTCTGGGGCCCCTGTCGGCCCTTTAGTTCTCCAGGAGTGGTGAACACAGACCTTGGCCCGCTGCACAGGGACAAGGTGACAGTGCCACCATCTGCTTAAGCGCTGTGATTCACTTCCTGTTCTCTGGCATCCTTGTCCACCCTACACGGGCTTTCTCCCCAGATGTCCCAGCCTGAGGCCCAGATGTCACCTCAGCCACAGGGCTAGGACCACCTGAGAGGAGCTGACACCTCACCTCCTCTCTCTCATCATGTGACCTGAGATCCTGATAACCCACACCCAACCCTGCATGTGCTCAGAGCAGACGCTAGACTCGACATCCTGATCTGTGCTTGGAGAGGATTTCTAGCTGTGTGACCTTCAGCAAGTTGCTTAGCCTCTCTGAGCCTCAGTTTCTTCATCTTTAGGATGGGATTAATGGTGGTAAGACATTAAATGATACTGAACAGCCCTAGCAGGAATTGGCACATAGCAGGTGCTCAATACATTTTTTTCTCTTGGACTGAAAACACAGTCCCAGAGGAGTCCCAGCTTCACTAGCAGCCCCAGTTTCCAGAGCTCCGTTCTCAGCGTGTCCTTAGGCTTTGCTAAGTACTGCTCCCTGAAAAGCCTTACCATTCCCGCCCTTCTCCACAGGAAGTGATATATTAGGGCCAGCACTCTCAGAAGCAAGACCTGAATCCCTTCCACCTCTACCTAGCAATGAAGCTCCAGACAGCAAAGAGAAAAAAAATGCTGCGAAAAAGAAGTGCTTGTACAATTTCCAAGATGCTTTTCTGGAAACGAATGAAGTGGCCATGGCCACCTCCTCGGCCACGTCCTCCGTGTCAAGTACGGCCACCACGGTGCAGTCCAGCAGCAGCCAGTTCAAGGTGTCGTCCAGGAGGCCGCCTTCCATAGGTAAGGCCCGCGTGCGGGAGAGCGTCCCCTCTCTGCGCTGTCTGCACCTGGCCTGTGGTGCTCCGCCCTCCCCTCCGAGAAGTCGCTCCCTTCCGAGCGCGGGGCAGGACGTGTTCAGGAAAGTGCTGAGCAAAAGAAAGCAAATGTAGCCAACAGGACCGCTGACCAACAGAGTGACGAGGCCCGGGGCAGGGAACAGGCAGGCTCAGGGCAGTTGTCTTGGGACTCAGGCGCCAGCTTTTAGGGGCCTCACCACTGCAGTGGAACAGTCTGAGCATCCAAATGATGATGAGCTGTCTTTAAGGAACAGGAAGTATTTCTCTCCCCCTCCCTTTTTTTATACTTTAGCCCTATTATACTGAAGTCCTTGTCCCCTCCCCCCATGAGTAGTGATCACCCTACGTATTGATGGAGGGGGAGTAAGTGATGGATTCTAGTATGCTAACGAGTCAGGGATCAGGCAGGTGCTAGTCTCACATCTATAATCCTAGCTGCTCAGGAGGCTGAGATCTGAGTGTTGAGGTTCAAAGCCAGCCCTGGCAGGAAAGTCTATGAAACTCTTGTAGCTACTAAACTGGAAGTGGAGCTGTGGCTCAAGTGGCAGTGTGCTAACCTTGAGCAAAAGAAGCTCAAAGACAGTGCCCGGTCTCTGAGTTCAAGCCTCAGGACCAGCACTAAAAAAGAGAGAGAGAAGCCAGAAATGTGTAGCAGTACATAAAGCATTTCATAGGGCAGGTGCATTCCGGTAGACAGCTGCAAACACATGAAGGGTGGTCGGGAGAGCCACCACGCTGCACCTCACCGCAGGAAGGGCAGAGGTGGGCTCCCGACACAGGCAGTGCTGACCACATCGGGTACCAGCCTGGGAACAGAGCATTCCCATGTCCAGAAGTGTCTATGGGGACTAAGCCATCATGGAAAGATGTGGGTGCCCCTCACCCTTGGAAGAGGCTGAGCCCTGTATCTTCACACATTAGGAATGTCTATTGCCATGAGATAAGATTTCCAGGATTTATGTCCAAAACCTTTCACCCAAATCTGATAAGATACAGTAAATCCAGATTGACAATTAGCCTCTCAGAAAGTACCTGTCTCAGCTAGGCTTCAGTGGCTTACCCTGTAATTCCAACTGCTCAGGAGGCTGACATCAGGAGAATTGTGACCAAGGCCAGCAGTTGAGACACCCCTCCCCCCCCCAACCATAGCTGTCATGTACCTGTCATTCCACTTAGCCTGGTGGCTCAGATTTGGAGGATTGCACTTCCAGGCCAGCCCAGCCAGAAAAATGGGCGACTTGCATCTCACTGGAGGGAAGTGGGCACCTGGGCCGTGCTGGTGATCCTGGCAACAACCGAAGCCCAGAGTAGGCAGTTGTGGGTCGGGCGTGTGCTTGTGCAGGAATCCAGACCCTATTTCAGAAGTAACAAGTGAAAACAGCTGGAGGTATGACTTGGGGTAGAACGCCATCCAGCGAGCGTAGGGCCTGAGTCCAGACTACAGTGCTGCCAAAAACAAATCCCCTCCTCAGAGGAGGAAAAAGTTTAGAGGCCTGATGACAGGGAGCTATGAAGATCTCGGGGACAGTGAAGTTGGGTTGGGGCTCCCATGGGGTGCGAGCACTGTGCTGAGCCTGTGGGCTGGAGCCCGGCGGGAGCATCGCACTGCCACCGCCACCGCCAGACGTTCAGCCCACGTCTGCGTGTGAGAAGTGTGAAATCTTGCTCACGCGAGGTGAGGGGTGGGGCAGGGGGTGTTCTTGTGCTGTTCCTGCAGGTCTCTAGATGGAAGCATGCACAAAACACAACTTGGGTAGAAAAGGTGTCCTGAGCGTGATGCCTGTGTCTGCCTCTCGCCTCTCTGCACGCAGGTGATGTCTTTCATGGCCTCAACAAGGAGGACCACCGGCACCCTGCACCCGTCGCCCCGAGGACCAGCCCCACAGGCCTCGCCCCCCTTCCAGGCCTCACCCCCACCGCCCTTTCCCCTGCCTCTGCGCCTCACCTCACCAACCTCGCAGCCCCGTCATTCCCCAAAACTACAAGCACAGCGCCTGCATTTGTGGATTCACGGAAGAACTTGTGCCCCGCCCCTGTGGCCCCCCCGCCCTCCACTGGGGATGGCCCTGTCAGCGCTCCACCCAGTGTCTGCAGGTGAGCCCCAGCCCGTCCCATGTGGGCCCCCTCCCCCCTTCCCTTCCCCTCCCCCCCTCCCCCCCCCCCACCCTCCACCGGGGATGGCCCATATCGCTCCACCCAGTGTCTGCAGGTGAGCCCCAGCCCGTCCCATGTGGGCCCCCTCCCCCCCTTCCCTTCCCCTCCCCCCCCCACCCCGCCCCGCCTTCCACCCAGGATGGCCCGTATCGCTCCACCCAGTGTCTGCAGGTGAGCCCTGGGCCCTTCCCGTGTGGAGGACGGGAGCCACTGCGCAAGCTGCCTCCCTTGCCCCACTGACACTACAGAAACTTGTCAGCCTTTGAAAGGTCCAGTGAGGGACCGGGCCATGGCTGGCAGTAGAGCCCCTGCCTGGCAAATTGGAGTCCCCAGGTTCAAATCCCAGGATAGGAAGAAAGACTTCAGCGAAATGCAGAATGAACACAAGGACCGTCGTGGCCTGTAGGCCCGCCCCTGCAGGCCACACCGCACTGGGGCTGCCTCCTTTGCCACTGTGTTGATCACACGTTGATGCCATTAAAAAGTGATAGTGAAGCACATACCACCCTCTCTCTTCAGGGTTTTTATAAAAAGACTACTGGGCACTGGTGGATCACTCCTGTAATCCTAGAGACTCAAGAGGCTGAGATCTGAGGCTCGCAGGCAGGAAAGTCCATGAGACTCTTACCTTCAGTTACCTACCCAAAGCTTTGAAACTGGAGCTGCAGCTCAAGAGGTAGAGCGCTAGATTTGAGCAAAAGAGCGCAAGAGACAGTGCCAGGCCCTAGTTCAAGCCTAGAAGCTGCGCACAGAAGAAGACTGTTAGCTTTGGACTTGTCCCTGCTGCCGTACGGAGGCGTGGTGGCAGGGTGGGCAGGGCAGCAAGCCGGGGGGGATTTGGGGAAGTGCCCGTTGAGTGGCACTCTGGGTGCTGCAGCCACAGGCACGTGCAGCTGTGCCCGCGGCTCCGCGCCCTCTCAGGAGCCTGTGACCTGCGCAGAGGAGCAGCGGGGCCGGGGGAGCAGAGCTCGGTTAACCAGCTGTGTGTGGCTTCCAGTGACCCCGACTGTGAAGGACACCGCTGCGAGAACGGCCTCTTCGACCCACAGCGGGAGGACGGCGAAGAGAGTGCCGAGGAGGACAGCTGCTCCGAGCACAGCTCTAGCACCTCCACCTCCACCAACCAGAAGGAAGGCAAATACTGTGATTGCTGCTACTGTGAGTTCTTCGGACATGGTGGGGTAAGTGCAAGGCGTCCGGAAGCACTGACTTCAGAGGGCGCACCGGGAAAGTACATTGTGTGTGTAAAGCACTGGTGACGTTGTTGTTGAGGTCCGTTCAGTCTGGCATAGCACACGCATGTCTAGATTGTACCTCTCCTAAGAAACAGGCTGTGTAGCCAGGCACCGGTGGCTCACCTCTGTAATCCCAGCTACTCAAGAGTATGAGATCTGAGGACCGCAGTTCAAAGCCAACCTGGACAGGAAAGTCCGTGACACTTCTCTCCGATTAACCACCAGAAAACCAGAAGTGGCGCTGTGGCTCAAGCGGTAGAGCGCTCGCCTTGAGTTGAAGAGTGCAGGGACAGCGCCCAAGCCCAGAGTTCAAGCCCCACGGCCAAAAGAAAAGAAATAAGTGTATGTGTGTATGTACACATGTACATTTGTGCACACGTATGTGTGTGTGCACACGTGCACACGTGCCCATACCATGGCTTGAACTCGGGGCCTCACTCTCCCACTGAGTTTTCTTGTTTTCTTGTGCTTTACCATTAGAGCCACACCTCCAGCCTGTGCTTTTATTGGTTAATTCAAGATCGAGTCTCAAAGACTTTTATGCCTGTGTGGCTTCAAACCACAATCCTCTGATCTCAGCCTTAAGGGGACTACAGGAGTCAGCTACCTGTCACCTGGCTGATCGCTGAAGTTGTATAGTATGAGCTCACCCCAGTAATCCCAGCTCCTTGGGAGGATCGAGCCCCAAAAGAAAAGCTCGAGACTTCTTGCTGGGCACCGTGGCATGCACTTGTCAGCCTCCCAGCTATGAACAGCCTCATTTTCAGGCCAGCCATGGCAGAAAAGCCTGAGAGCCTGTGAGCCCAGCAATGCTGGGAGCCTCAGATAGGTGGGTTTGCAGCTCAGACATTGCCCCTGTCTCAGGAGTGACCAGTGGCGGGCTGGCAAGGTGGCTCAGCAGTAGAGCGCTTGCCTCGTATGCATGAGGCCCTGGGTTTAATTCCTCAGCAACATATAAGCAGAAAAAGCCAGAAGTGGTGCTGTGGCTTAAGTGGTAGAACGCTAGCCTTGAGCTGAAGAGTTGAGGGACAGCGCCCAGGCCCAGAGTTCAAGCCCCGTGACCGACAAAAATAACCAGTGAAAAACAGGGCTGGGAGCATAGCTCAAGTGTAAGTAAATGAATGAATGTTGATGAAGTTGGGGGTGTTTTCTGAATGCTCAGCAGCAGGAAGTTGTTAATTATGGCGCATCTGTACAGCGGAGCAGCTGTGTACCCATACACCACAGCAGCGGGCAGGCTGCCCCTGTGTGCTCGTGCCAGTGGTCGCCTCTCGTTCCTAGGGCTAGGCGAAGGAACTACAGGTGCATGCACTTGTTCTTTTTCTTCAGTTCTGTCTGCATTTCCTAAAATGTGCATATGATTGTCAAAGTAAGAAATGTGTTGGTGGCTCATGCCTGAAATCCTAGCTAATCAGGAGGCTGAGATCTGAGGATCACAATTCCAAGCCAGCCTGTCAAAAATTAACCACCAAAAGTGTGGGGGGGGGCGGGGCAGGAGGGGCTGAAGAAAGAGATTTAGTGGTAGGACTGAGAGATCAATGTTTTTTTCTTGTCAAACACTGAAAATAAAATCTACAGGGGCTGGGGAGGTGGCTCAGTGGTAGAGCGTTTGCCTTGCATGCATGAGGCCCTGGGTTCGATTCCCCAGCACCACATAAGCAAAAAGAAAGCCGGAAGTGGTGCTGTGGCTCAAGTGGTAGAGCGCTAGCCTTGAGCTGAAGAGCTGAGGGACAGCACCCAGGCCCAGAGATCAGGCCCCATGACCGGACCCAAAAAAAAAAAAAAAAAAATCTACAGATTGAAAGATAAAAGGCTATTTGAGCCAACTGATGTAAAAGATGTATCCCACTGAATAAAATAAAAAGTAGATTTGTCAATATATGTAATCATTTCTGTTTGAAAAAGTAGATTTGTCAATATATGTAATCATTTCTGTTTGAAAAAACCTTTTTTTTTTTTTTGGTTCCAGTCATGGGGCCTGAACTCTGGGCCTGGGCGCTGTCCCTCAGCTCTTCAGCTCAAGGCTAGCGCTCTACCACTTGAGCCACAGCGCCACTTCCAGCTTTTTTCTTTTTTGCTTATGTGGTGCTGAGGAATCGAACCCAGGGCTTCATGCATGCAAGGCAAGCGCTCTACCACTGAGCCATCTTCCTAGCCCCTGAAAAAACCTTTTTAAGCCAAGCAAAATAGTACAGACCTGTAATCTTAGCTAGGAGGTGGAGGTAGGTTTGTGGCCCAAACCTGCCCTAGACCCTATCTGAAAAACAAAGCAAAAAAGACTGGGGTACTACTAATATAGTAGAACACTTGTGAGACTCTGAACTCAAGCCCCAGTGCTACAGAAATAAACTCATTTGTATATACTTCACCAAATTTTCATAAATATATGAAATTTGATGGATAGACTCCAAAATCCAATTCTCGGTGACTTGGTGATGGGTTTGTCTTTTTTCTGCCCTTTGTTTAGTTTTCACAATGATCATAAACTATTTAAATAATTTTTCAGAAAACTGCATATTTAGAGGTAAGTTCTAAAACTTTCTTCAAAATTGTTAAAACTTGCTGGGCACTGGTGGCTCACGCCTGTACTCCTAGCTGTTCAGAAGGCTGAGCTCTGAGAATTATGGTTCAAAGCCAGCCTGGGCAGGAAAGTCCGTGAGGCTCTTATCTCCAATAAACAAGCAGAAAACGGGAAGTGGCACTGTGGCTCAAGTGGTCAAGCACTCCCCTTAAGCAATAAGGACTCAGGGATCCTTGACCCCAAGTTTAAGCCCCCATGACCCACAACAAAAAAATCGTTTAGGGGCTGGGAAAGTGGCTCAGTGGTAGAGTGCTTGCCTTGCATGCCTGAGGCCCTGGGTTTGATTCCTCAGCACCACATAAGCAAAAAGAAAAAAGCCGGAAGTGGCGCTGTGGCTCAAGTGGTAGAGCGCTAGCCTGAGGGACAGCGTCCAGGCCCAGAGTTCAGGCCCCACGACCGGACCCGGAAAAAAAAAAAAAATCGTTTAAACTTGAAACCTAAATTATGTATTCTTATCTTAGCCTCCAGCTGCACCAACGAGTAGAAATTATGCAGAAATGAGGGAAAAGCTTCGCTTACGGCTGACCAAGAGAAAAGAAGAACAACCTAAGAAAATGGATCAGATCACAGAACGAGAAAGTGTTGTTGATCACCGAAGGGTGGAGGATTTGCTACAGTTCATCAACAGCTCAGAGACCAAGCCAGTGAGCAGTACTCGGGCGGCCAAGCGGGCCAGGCATAAGCAAAGAAAGGCAAGTGACAGCTGCGTGACCGTTCAGGGTGGGCCAGGGCTCGGGAGCCTGGTTACACAGCTGCCCTGCTGCTGCACGTTCACCTCCGTCTCTGGTGGCCTGGCTGGAAGCTGGCTAAAACTGCATGCCATCACCCGTCCAGGCCTGGGCTCTGGGCCTCTCTGAGGCGGCAGATCCCATGTTAGCAGCGGTGGTGGTGAGTGAGCAGGGTCTTCAGAGGCTGTGCTCGTGCTGGTGGTGAGTGAGCAGGGTCTTCAGAGGCTGTGCTGGTGCTGGTGAGTGAGTGAGCAGGGTGTTCAGAGACGGTGCTGGTGGTGGTGGTGAGTGAGCAGGGTGTTCAGAGGCTGTGCTGGTGGTGGTGGTGAGTGAGCAGGGTGTTCAGAGACTGTGCTGGTGCTGGTGAGTGAGCAGGGTGTTCAGAGACTATGCTGGTGCTGGTGAGTGAGCAGGGTGTTCAGAGGTTGTGCTGGTACTACTGCTGCTGGTAGTGAGTGAGCAGAGTGTTCAGAGACAGTGCTGGTGGTGAGTGAGCAGGGTGTTCAGAGGCTGTGCTGGTGCTGGTGGTGAGTGAGCAGGGTGTTCAGAGGCTGTGCTGGTGGTGGTGGTGAGTGAGCAGGGTGTTCAGAGGCTGTGCTGGTGGTGGTGGTGAGTGAGCAGGGTGTTCAGAGGCTGTGCTGGTGGTGAGTGAGCAGGGTGTTCAGAGGCTGTGCTGGTGGTGAGTGAGCAGAGTGTTCAGAGGCTGTGCTGGTACTGGTGGTGAGTGAGCAGGGTGTTCAGAGGCTGTGCTGGTGGTGGTGGTGAGTGAGCAGATTGTTCAGAGACGGTGCTGGTGGTGAGTGAGCAGGGTGTTCAGAGGCTGTGCTGGTGGTGAGTGAGCAGGGTGTTCAGAGGCTGTGCTGGTGCTGGTGGTGAGTGAGCAGGGTGTTCAGAGGCTGTGCTGGTGCTGGTGGTGAGTGAGCAGGGTGTTCAGAGGCTGTGCTGGTGCTGGTGGTGAGTGAGCAGGGTGTTCAGAGGCTGTGCTGGTGCTGGTGGTGAGTGAGCAGGGTGTTCAGAGGCTGTGCTGGTGGTGGTGGTGAGTGAGCAGGGTGGTCAGAGGCTGTGCTGGTGGTGGTGAGTGAGCAGGGTGTTCAGAGGCTGTGCTGGTGCTGGTGGTGAGTGAGCAGGGTGTTCAGAGGCTGTGCTGGTGGTGGTGAGTGAGCAGAGTGTTCAGAGGCTGTGCTGGTGCTGGTGAGTGAGCAGGGTGTTCAGAGGCTGTGCTGGTGGTGGTGAGTGAGCAGGGTGTTCAGAGGCTGTGCTGGTGCTGGTGGTGAGTGTGTTCAGAGGCTGTGCTGGTGGTGGTGGTGAGTGAGCAGGGTGTTCAGAGGCTGTGCTGGTGCTGGTGGTGAGTGAGCATGGTGTTCAGAGGCTGTGCTGGTGCTGGTGGTGAGTGAGCAGGGTGTTCAGAGGCTGTGCTGGTGGTGGTGAGTGAGCAGGGTGTTCAGAGGCTGTGCTGGTGGTGGTGGTGAGTGAGCAGGGTGTTCAGAGGCTGTGCTGGTGGTGAGTGAGCAGGGTGTTCAGAGGCTGTGCTGGTGGTGGTGGTGAGTGAGCAGAGTGCTCAGAGGCTGTGCTGGTGGTGCTGGTGAGTGAGCAGGGTGTTCAGAGGCTGTGCTGGTGGTGAGTGAGCAGGGTGTTCGGAGGCTGTGCTGGTGGTGAGTGAGCAGGGTGTTCAGAGGCTGTGCTGGTGCTGGTGGTGAGTGAGCAGGGTGTTCAGAGGCTGTGCTGGTGCTGGTGGTGAGTGTGTTCAGAGGCTGTGCTGGTGCTGGTGGTGAGTGAGCAGGGTGTTCAGAGGCTGTGCTGGTGGTGGTGGTGAGTGAGCAGGGTGGTCAGAGGCTGTGCTGGTGGTGGTGAGTGAGCAGGGTGTTCAGAGGCTGTGCTGGTGCTGGTGGTGAGTGAGCAGGGTGTTCAGAGGCTGTGCTGGTGGTGGTGAGTGAGCAGAGTGTTCAGAGGCTGTGCTGGTGCTGGTGAGTGAGCAGGGTGTTCAGAGGCTGTGCTGGTGGTGGTGAGTGAGCAGGGTGTTCAGAGGCTGTGCTGGTGCTGGTGGTGAGTGTGTTCAGAGGCTGTGCTGGTGGTGGTGGTGAGTGAGCAGGGTGTTCAGAGGCTGTGCTGGTGCTGGTGGTGAGTGTGTTCAGAGGCTGTGCTGGTGGTGGTGGTGAGTGAGCAGGGTGTTCAGAGGCTGTGCTGGTGCTGGTGGTGAGTGAGCAGGGTGTTCAGAGGCTGTGCTGGTGCTGGTGGTGAGTGAGCAGGGTGTTCGGAGGCTGTGCTGGTGGTGAGTGAGCAGGGTGTTCAGAGGCTGTGCTGGTGCTGGTGGTGAGTGAGCAGGGTGTTCAGAGGCTGTGCTGGTGGTGGTGGTGAGTGTGTTCAGAGGCTGTGCTGGTGCTGGTGGTGAGTGAGCAGGGTGTTCAGAGGCTGTGCTGGTGGTGAGTGAGCAGGGTGTTCAGAGGCTGTGCTGGTGGTGAGTGAGCAGGGTGTTCAGAGGCTGTGCTGGTGCTGGTGGTGAGTGAGCAGGGTGTTCAGAGGCTGTGCTGGTGGTGGTGGTGAGTGAGCAGGGTGTTCAGAGGCTGTGGTGGTGCTGGTGGTGAGTGAGCAGGGTGTTCAGAGGCTGTGCTGGTGGTGGTGACTGAGCAGGGTGTTCAGAGGCTGTGCTGGTGCTGGTGGTGAGTGAGCAGGGTGTTCAGAGGCTGTGCTGGTGCTGGTGGTGAGTGTGTTCAGAGGCTGTGCTGGTGGTGGTGGTGAGTGAGCAGGGTGTTCAGAGGCTGTGCTGGTGCTGGTGGTGAGTGAGCAGGGTGTTCAGAGGCTGTGCTGGTGCTGGTGAGTGAGCAGGGTGTTCAGAGGCTGTGCTGGTGGTGAGTGAGCAGGGTGTTCAGAGGCTGTGCTGGTGGTGAGTGAGCAGGGTGTTCAGAGGCTGTGCTGGTGGTGCTGGTGAGTGAGCAGGGTGTTCAGAGGCTGTGCTGGTGGTGGTGGTGAGTGAGCAGGGTGTTCAGAGGCTGTGCTGGTGGTGGTGAGTGAGCAGGGTGTTCAGAGGCTGTGCTGGTGCTGGTGGTGAGTGTGTTCAGAGGCTGTGCTGGTGCTGGTGGTGAGTGAGCAGGGTGTTCAGAGGCTGTGCTGGTGCTGGTGGTGAGTGAGCAGGGTGTTCAGAGGCTGTGCTGGTGGTAAGTGAGCAGGGTGTTCAGAGGCTGTGCTGGTGGTGAGTGAACGTGAGCTCTCGTGGATTGTGTTCTCGAAGCTTATAGGGAGAGCAATGGAATTGCTCTGCTCTCTAAGCAGCCTGCTATCCCCTGGGATTGGCACGGTCAGGAAAGGACCGGGGAGGATGGCCCCACCTTGGGTCCACCTGTCTTGAACCACTGCCCTGGCCAGGACTCTGGGGGCAGACTCTGGTGGCTACCGTGCTAAAGAGGTCTGCACTGACTCAGTTCCAGCTGGCGATTTGGAGGCCTCTACTGGTCCTTGACGATCTGAGCTTGCCCAGGGGAAAAAAAAACAAAGTACGTTTCCAGCTGGGATGGTTGTGGCTCTGGAGACCTTCTGGTGGTGTTCACTGGCGGCATCTGGGAACCTATTCAAGTGCTTTTTAGGGGTTCTCTCAGCCCAAGACCCCATGAGATGGTCTCCATCACCATTGAGAGGCCCAAGCCATGCCAGAGACTGCTCGGCACTCACCCTTGTGGACCTCCCTGGCTTGGCCTGCCCAGCCATCTGTTTTGCATGTCAGCACACAGACCACCAACTATGCTGCTGGTTGAAATGGGAGCATTATTCCCCCGGAGACTGTCCGGAATGGGCTCGCCCCATCAGTCTGAGCTAGGCCACTGCCCAGAGTCAGTGTCATTGCCTGTAAAACCAGGTCAGACTGGATGCCAGTGGCTCACGCCTGTAATCTTGGCTACTCAGGAGGCTGAGATCTGAGGATGGCGCTTCAAAGTCCATGAGACTCTTATCTCCAGTTAACCACTAGAAAAGCAGAAGTGGAGCTGTGGCTCAAGTGGTGGAGCTTTAGCCTTGAGCAAAAAAGAGCTCATGAATAGCGCTCAAGCCCCAGGACTGGCAAAAAAAAAAAAAAAAAATTAAAAACCAGGTTGGCAAGTGGCACACATGTGTAATCCCAGCTGCTTGGGGGCAGACCCAGAAGGATCACATTTCATGGGCAGTCCAGGCAAAAGCTACCCACATCCTGTCTTGTAAACAAGCTGGGCGTGGTGGTCTTAGCTGCTGGGGAGATAGAGGGAGCTCAGAGCCAGCCTGAGCAAAAGTATACCAAGATCTTAGGAAAGAAGCAAATGGAGGCTGGGAAGGTGGCTCAGTGGTCGCGTGCTTGCCTGGCATGCATGAAGCCCTGGCCTCAATTCCTCAGCACCACATACACAGAAAAACCAGAAGTGGCACTGTGGCTCAAGTCGTAGAGTGCTAGCCTTGAGCACAGAGAAGCTCAGCCAGAGTCCAGGCACTGAGTTCAAGCCCAGGAGTGGCAAAAAAAAAAAAAAAAAGGAAGCACATGGACTAGGTCCCAGTGGCTCATGTCTATAATCTTAGTTATTTAGGAGGCTAATATCTGGAGGATGAAGGTTTGAGGGTAGTCCAGGCAGTAAAGTTTGTTAGGCTCCCATCTCCTAAACAGTCATCAAAAAGCAGGACTGGAGATGTGGTTCAAGTGAGTAGAACAGGTGCCTAACTAGCATGAGGCCCTAAATTCAATCCTTAATACTGCCTCCCCCAAAAAGAACATTTTAAGCATGATGATGGGCCTGAGGATGCAGCTCCGTGCGAGTGATTAGGATAGGGTGTGTGACAGTACTAGGCTTCAGCTCAGGCACTGGAGGCCATTTCTGAGCCTTTTTGCTCAAGGCTAGTGCTGTACCCCTTGAGCTCCACTGATAGCTTTTTGGTGGTTTATTGGAGGTGAGAGTCTCATGGGGCGGGAAGGTGGCTCAGTGGTAGAGTGCTTGCCTTGCATACAGGAAGTGCTGGGTTCAGTTCCACAACAGAAAAGGCTGGCATGGGACTGTGGCTCAAGTGGTAGAGTACTCGCCTTGAGCAAAAGCAGCTCAGGGACAGCGCCCAGGCCCTGAGTTCAAACCCCAAGACTGGCAAAAAAAAAAAAAATAGAAAAACCAAAGATTGTCTCATGAACTTTGCTGCCCTGGTTGGCTTTGAACCATGGTCCTCAAATCTCAGCCTTCTAGGTAGCTAGGATGACAGGCGTGAGACTCTTTTTCGAAGCTTTGTCGTAGGATCTTTTTATTTGTTTATTTATTTTTGGCTTGTTTACTTTTTGAAGCAAAGTTCATGCCGTGTGGCCAGACTAAGCCAACCTTAAACTTCTGATCTTTTTTTTTTTCTTTTTTTTGTCAGTCATGGAGCCTGAACTCTAGGCCTGGGCACTATCCCTGCACTCTTCAGCTCAAGGCTAGTGCTCTATCATTTGAGCCACAGCGCCATTTTTGTTTCTGTTTATGTTATGCTGAGGAATTGAACCCAGGGCCTCATACATGTGAGGCAAGCACTCTACCACTGAGCCACCTTCCCAGCCTAAACTTCTGATCTTTGAAATGCCGAAAGTGTCTTATTCTTAATGACCTTAATTTGTTTTCAAGCAGCAGGAGTAGCTTCTTTTCATACCTCTGAAACATGTATTTCTAGTGAAGTGTTCACTTGGGATGAAAATTACTTATTACTAAGTTAGACAACAGAAAGGCTTATTTGCCATTGAGTCCGAATATTTCTGAAAGCCATCTGCTCTGTCACACCAGTGAAAATACACTGGGACTTTGTTTACCTGCCGGGGGATGCAGGTACGGGTGCTAGCATCATCCCTCACCACAGGTCAGCTTGCTGGGACCCCAGCCATGTGGCTGCCAGGGGTCTCTGTGGTCCCAGCCGTTTCTTTGTGGCACACCCCGGAGGACGCAGCAGCATCCGGCTGGGCCCTCAACCTCCCTCCTGGCAGAGAGCCCTTGCCTTGTAGATAGGCGAGGCTCGGCAGTGCTGCAGGAGGAACCATTGGGACTAGGTGCATCTTCAGGTTTTCAGCTTATTATTGCCTCTCAAAGTGTATGTGTTGGTCATTTTTTTATCTTAGTATGTCTCAAGTTTTGGAATTCTTTTTTTTTTTTTTTTTTTTTGTCGTGGGGCTTGAACTCTGGGCCTGGGCGCTGTCCCTCAGCGCTTCAGCTCAAGGTGAGCGCTCTACCGCTTGAGCCACGTTGCCACTTCTGGTTTTCTGAGTGTTTTATTGGAGATAAGAGTCTCACGGAGTTTCTTGCCTGGGCTGGCTTTGAAAGGCGATCCTCAGATCTCAGCCTCCTGAGTAGCTAGGGTTATAGGCGTGAGCTGCCAGTGCCTGGCTGGTTTTTGGAATTCTTACATAGTCTTAGGCACCTTTCTTTTCACATCGGCAGCTAGAAGAAAAGGCACGCATGGAAGCCGAGGCCCGGGCACGGGCACATGTGCACCTCCAAGAGGAGCAGAGGCGGCGTGGGGAAGAGGAAGGAGAGGAGGAAGAGGAGGAGGAGGAGGAGGAGGAGCAGCATTTCAAGGAGGAATTACAGCGGCTTCAGGAGCTTCAGAAGCTAAGAGCTATAAAGAAGAAGAAGAAGGAGAGGCCAAGTAAAGACTGTCCCAAGTTAGACATGCTTGCTAGAAATTTCCAGGTAGTGACAGAGTCTGTCCCTAACTCTGAAAACATCCACAATGGCTCACTAGAGCAAACTGAAGAACCAGAAACCTCATCTCACTCCCCTTCCAGACAGGTGAACCACTCAGAGCCCGGTCCGGGGCCAGGAGCTGATGGGGACCCTACAGACCCCCTGGACCCTAGAGACTCCAAGCTTCTGCTCGCCAAGGAAGTCAGTGGGAAGCAGCCTGAGCCCCTTGCTTTTCTCTTCGACATGATGCATCATCACAAAGAGGGGAACGGCAGACAGAAGCTCAAGCACACCAGTAAAGCCAGCAGCGAACCTCCTAGGAAGCTCACAGAGCCCCCCAAAGTTATGGAGGGGCATCCCAAGCCTCGGACCCAGACTGAACCGAAGGCTAAGATGTTGGATCTGGCTCCCTTAACTGAGCAGAAGAGAGAGGAGAGGAAAAGCAACAGTAACAACAATAACAAGAAGCAGCTGAGCCACCTGAGGGAGGAGAGGTTGAACCCCGCCCCTCCCCTGAGCCACCTGAAGGAAGAGAGATCGAACCCGGCCCCTCCCGAGTCGCCCTCTCCCAGCCAGCCTCAGCCTCAGCTGAACGGCCGGCCAACCCCAGCGGATTCTCCTCAGCCTAAGGGCAAGAGCAAGAAAAGTAAGAAGAAGAAAGGAGACCGAGCCAGCAGTTCAATTGGTAAGTACGGGGTGGAGGGGTGGTTTGGCCTGTGGCTGTAATCTTCTGTAGGAGGCACACTGGAGGGAAGCCCTATGCACTGTACTGTACTCTGGCAATGCACTGTAACTTTTCTATTCAGCAGTAAGGGGACAGTCACGCTTGTTACATTTTGTTATTTTGAAACAATTTTAGACTTGTCAAAAGCTATTTTTAAAAGTCCAGGTACCCATGTTTCATACTTGTAATCCTAGCTACTTGGGAGGCTGAGATTGGAAGGCTCGAGATTCATCCAAGACGGATCCAGCCACAAACTTTGAGAGATGGCTTTTGAGCGGATAGTTGGTGTGGTAATGCACGCCTGCCATCCCTGCTACTAACGGGAAGAGAGATGAGCAAGACTGGCCCAGACCAGCAGGCTAGGACTTTACCTCATAACTTGGGTGAAAAGAGCCAGAACAAGTAGTGGAGCACGTGTCTAGAAGCACAAAAACCCGAGTTCAGAGCCAGTGCTGCTAAGCTAACAAATAAATGCTGTTAAAGGCACACAAGTTTTCTTTAGAGTGTGTAGATACCCTAACACAGGATTACCTTAAAGAGGAATGAATTCATGTTTCTTTCTGGTATTTGTGTGCTATTGTTTTCTTATTTCATCCAGATCCCTGGTACATTTGGGGTATATTCTTGGATATGGTATGATGTACTATCCAAAGTGTGTGTGTGTGTGTGTGTGTGTGCATGCGCGCGCACACATACATATATATTTTGTACTAGTCTCAGGCCTTGAACTGAGTACCTAGGCACTGTCCCTGAGTTTTTGTGCCAAAGACTGGTGCTCTACCACGAGAGCCATAGCTCTCTACTTTGTGCTTTTTGGTGTTGAATTGGAGATGAGAATCTCATGGACTTTTCTGCCTGGGCTGGCTTTCAATCATGATCTTTCGCTTTCAACCTAGATAGCTGGGATTGTAGGCATGACCCACCAGCTGTCCAGCCTCATTGTACTTTTGTTTGTGTATATCTGGTGCTAGAGATAGAACTCAGGACCTTCTACATGCTAGGCAAGGACTTCACCTTCACTACTGAACTATGTCCCAGCCTCAGTGTAGTTTTTTTTTTTTTGCCAGTTCTGGGGCTTGAACTCAGAGCTTCTTTGGCTCAAGGATAGCACTCTACCACTTGAACCACAGCACCTCTTCTGGCTTTTTCTGTGTATGTGATACTGAGGAATTGAGCCCAGGGTTTCATGCATGTTAAACAAACACTCTACCACTAAGCCACATTTCCAGCCTCCCTCGGTGTAATTTTTTTTTTTTTTTTTCTGGTTGTGGGACCTGAACTCTTGGCCTGGGCACTGTCCCTCAGCTCTTCAGCTGTAGACTAGCACTCTACCACTTGAGCCTCATCCCACTTCTGACTTTTTCTGCTTATGTGGTGCTGAGGAATGGACCCCGGGCCTCATACATGCAAGGCAAACACTCTACCACTGAGCCACCTTCTCAGCCCCTCAGTGTAAATTTTTATGAGTATACTGGTCCTGGGACTTGAACTCAGAACGTGTTTGGTATCCCGTAGCTTTTTTGCTCAAGGCTGGAACTCTGCCACTTGAGCTACAGTTTCTCTTCTGGCTTTTTGCTGATAAATTGGAGATAAGAGTCTCACAGATTTTCCTGTCTGGGCTGGCTTCAAACCTTGGTCCTTAGATCTTAGCCTCGTGTGTTGATAGGATTAGATGTGTGAGCCACAGCGAAGTGCCCCACTCAATGTAATTTTACATGATCACTTGTTGGAATGGCATTTTAAGTAATAACTAAAATCACTTTCCCCTGTGTGTGTGTGTGTGTGTGTGTGTGTGTATTTGTGTGTGTGTGTATGTTTGTGTGTGTGTGTGTGTGTGTGTGTGTTTAATATGACTAGTAAAGGTCTTACTTCTGTGGACATGCCACCTCATGTTATTATTTAAGTAGCATTGTTGAATGTTGCAGGTTTCCAGGTCCACCTGTTTCTGCAGGTAATGGAGCCTTTACCCCTATTCTTGAGTTATTATGCCTCTGTTTTCTCTGTGAAACTCACCCTTCCTAATCTAATAGAACCACTTCTGGTGTTTCCACATTCAGTAATACTGGCTTGGGAGCTTGAGTTTGTTTACTTTAGTGAGTAGGAAGATACCCAGTGAATCTTTACATTTCTTGAATGTGTTCCTAAGGAATACTATTGAAATTTACCATTTTCCTAGCCTCTGTAGGGATAGTCGTGGTTTTTCTTCTCAGGCTTGTTTAGATGATATATTAAATTACCCCATTTCCTGGCACCGAACCAGCTGCGGACCTCTCTGTAGTAAAAGCAAAGGCTTACTTTGCTTGCCATAATTTGGGATTTGGGTTATATTTAATGATTTAATGTATTTGACTTTACAGGTCTGTAACTTCTTGCTTTTTGGTCTTTGGTGCCTGAGTATTCCTTGTGTGTCTATATTACACTTCCTTCATGAAAAGAACTACGGAGTTCTTTAGATTCCTGGTATCAGTGTTGTGGCACACTTGAGCTGTAGAAGTGGATGGCCACAGACCAGCCCTCAGGGCCCTGCTGGTTTTGCATAGTGGTTCCTTGCCATTCTCTCTTTCCAAATGGAAACTGGTACCGTATTTCTATGTAAATATTTTGGAGTACTGCCTTTCCATAGGAAACTTTCCTTTTCAATTATAATTTTAAATCTATTTAGATACATGTCTGTAGATTCATAAGTAGTCATAACTTACTTTAAATTTCTTTACAGTGGTTATTTTCCTCTCATCGTTTTTTGGTTTTTTAATTCATGTTATGTTTCTGTTAGTCCTATCTTTTATGGACAGTGCCATGGCATACACTTGTAATCCCAGCATTGGCAGATACAGGAAGACAACAAGTTCAGAGCCAACCCGGGCTACATACCAAGACTCTTTCCTAAAAACAAATATACATACATGCAAACATACATAAATGTATATATACAGACTTTTCTTTGGTTATTTAAGCACATTCACTTTTTTTTTTTTTTTTTTTTTTTTGCCGGTCCTGGGGTTTGAACTTAGGGGCTGAGCACTGTCTCTGAGCTTTTTGCTCAAAGCCAGAGCCCTACCACTTTGAACCATAGCTCCGTGTCTGGTTTTCTGGTAGTGATTTGGAGATGGGTCTGGTGGACTTTACTGCCTGGGCTGGCTTCAAACTGTCTCCCTCAGATCTCAGCCTCCTGTTGCTAGGATGACAGCCGTGAGCCCCCGACGCCCGGCATGAACCCCCAGCGCGAGCCCCTTCGCTTTCATTGGTATTGATATTTTCTGTATCTTATATGTGCTGATTCTTTTTCTATGCATTTTCTTGCACTTACATTCCTAAAAATATTTAGTACTTAATAAAAAAATTATGACTTCATACTAGCATATTTGTCTTAGCTTGTTTCCTATTGCTGTAACAGAACACCTGAGTTGAGTCGTCTATTAAGAAAACAGGTTTGTTTTGATTCCTAGTTCTACAGACTGATAAGCAGGGTGTGCTGCTTCAGCGCAAGTGCAGACAGGCAGGTGCAGGGGCTTTACACACCCCGTGCCCTTGTGAATCACCCCACCCCTCTTCAGAGGGAAGTCTTGCTCCTTCAGGAAAGGCTGCATCCGTCTGCACACTGGCACTCTGCCCACCTCCCAGCCCATGTGCATTTCTTGGGGACAAACTCAGACTGCTGTTGCCACCAGGGTTTTTTTTTTTTTTTGTCAGTTATGGAGCCAGAACTGTGGGCCTGGGCGCTGTCCTCAGCTCAAGGCTAGCGCTCTACCACTTGAGCCACAGCGCCACTTCTGGTTTTCTGGTGGTTTATTGGAAATCAGAGTCTCACGGACTTTCTTGCCCAGGATGGCTTTGAACCTCACAATCCTCAGCTCTCAGCCTCCTGAGTAGCTAGGATGACAGGCGTGAGCCACCGCTGCCTGGCTCCAAATCTCTTTTGAAGCTTGTCTGTGCTCTGTCTTGAGTTCAGTTTCTCACACAGCACCTCTGCCACCTTACATTGCTTTTTTTTTTTTTTTTTTTTTTGCCAGTCCTGGGGCTTGAACTCAGGGCCTGGGCACTGTCCCTGAGCTTTTGCTCAAGGCTAGCACTCTACCACTTGGACCTCAGCTCCATTTCCAGCATTTTCTGTGTATGTGGTGCTGAGGAATTGAACCCAAGGCTTCATGCACGTTAAGCAAGCACTCTACCACTAAAGCCAACTTCCCAGCTCCTATATTGCTCTTCTTGCCACGTGTTTCCTGCAGGAAAGATATCTGAGTCTTTCTGCAGAGATAGTGCCCATGCCAGCTGTGTGTCCTTGGGGACGTGCATGTGACCTGAGGCTTGTCACAGAGCAGGGGTCTCCGGGTGACATGAAGGTGACACAAGGGAGCTAGGGTGGGAGCGTGGATACCGTCTGTGCGATGCGTCTGAGGCCAAGTCCCGGCCTGTAGCCGATCAGTACATCTGAGCAGCTGGGCAGAGGTGTGACTGTCACGGTCCAGGTCCAGACCAGAGCGGGCAGCAAAAGAGTGGAGGTCCCCACTAGTTAGGAAGAACGTTCCGGCATGCTGAAGGTAGGTGAGAGGAGAGCGTCTCGTGGAAAAGGAGCGTACTGGCAATAGACGCCGTAATTTTGCTCCTGCGGAAACACCACGGAGATAAGTACAGAGGGAGGCCGTGTATTCACTTGTGGCGCCCTGCCCAGTGTGGCCTCTAGAGCTCAGGAGGCGCTACACACCAGCCAGAGTGTCGAGCGGAGAAGAGAGAAAAGTGTGAGTTCTCAAACCTGGCTGAGGTTCTGGACAACCAGTGCTCTCCGGCCCCAGTCCTAGAGTGCTGCTCCTGCCTCCGTGTGCGGGCGAACTCCAGCCGAGCCCACTGAGCCGCCGCCATGCCCTGCCTCCCTCTTCATTCCCTCAGACTCGGGAGAGAGGCTTCCGGGGACTCTCTGAAGGCTCTGACAGTCTGGCTGTCAGTAACATCCGAGGGAGTCTGGTTGCAGACTCATAAACAGACACCCTGAGCCTTCATCTTCCTCTGCCTCCTGCAGGATCTCTTTTTAGAAAATGTTTATCCAGTGCGTGAAGGTGTTTAAGCCAAGGCGAATGACCTGGTCTTCTCTAGTAAGGTGGCTCGTGTGGTAATCCGGTGCGCCTCTGCTTCATCTTACAGATGATGTCTTTCTGCCTAAAGACATTGACCTGGACAGCGTGGACATGGATGAGACCGAGAGGGAAGTGGAGTGTTTCAAAAGGTGATGCAAGGCCTGCCCGCCACACAGCGCCGCTCCTGGTTGCTAAGCTTACTAGCTTGCTCTTTCCGTGTCCCTCTCTGGCCCCATTGTCCTCAGCAAATTCCTCAACAACCCAGCTAGCTAAGGCTGGGTAGAATGGCACAGCTGCCCCGTGTTCCCCATCCCCCCAGCTGCGCACACCAGCCCTCATCCACCCTGCACACTCGTTTACTGCTCCCCTTCCCATGTAGCAAGAGAGAATTGACAGGCTCCGCCCACTGCCACGCCAGGGCCTGGACCCTTCCCAGCACTCTGCCCTGCAGAGCCTCCCAGGATATGACATCTCCCCACCCCACCCCAAGAGCCTGCTCTTAAGGAGAGAAGAAACGTTCAGATATCGACTCCATTTTCCTAGAGGAAAACTTCCTCAACACTTTTTAGTGTTGCTTTATCAACTGTGTAAATTATAATAAAAACTTACTTTAAGCACAGTACAACAATTACCCATACTTGGAGTGTTAAGTGATCAGGGAAGCTGAAACAGGAGATCTTGAGTTCGATGTCAGCAGGCTAGATAGCATCTGAAAAAAAAAATACAAAGGATAAAATGCATTGGCTAGAGATGTAGGTAGTGGTAATACGCACAAAGCCTTGAATTCAGTCCCTAGTACTACACAAAGAAAAAAGAAGAGCTGGGCTCCAGCGGCTCACGCCTGAAATCCCGGAGGATCGCAGTTCAAAACGTTTTTTATTTTCCTCCTTTGCTGGTACCAGGACTTGAACTCAGAACCTCAGGCTCTTGGCTTTTTCACTCTACCACTTGATCCATGCCTCTACTTCCAGCTTTTTTCCCTGGTTATTTGAGGATGAGAGTCTCTGGGATCTGTCTGCGTAGCCAGGCTCTAAACCCCAACTCTGAGATCTCAGTCTCCCAGGTGTCCCCACGTAGCTAGGCTGACAGCCTGAGCCGCCGCCGCCGGCGACTGGCACGTAGCTAAGCCAACAGCCTGAGCCGCCGGCAACTGGCAGGCTCTGCCCCGTCTGCACGCAGTGAATTGCTCTTGGATTGTTACTCACGTGTAGCTTTTTGAAATTCTGTTGTTTGTGGATGTATGTGTGCTCATGTTCACACACACACGTGAATTCCCCAGCCTTGGGAGGATGAAGCTGAACGATGGTCTAGAGCTCAAGGCCAGGACTGGAAGCATGGCTGGGGATAGAGCCCCTGCCGAGCAGCAAACAGGAGGCCCACGGACCCCACCCACTCCCCCACCCCACCCCCAAGGAAAAAAGATCTTAAATATCAAAAACCAACCTTTTGGCTGGGAGGAAGCTCGCTTGGTGGCCAAATGTAGGGCTTGAGGTCCTAGGTGTGATTCCCCAGCACCAGTTCTAACCCAGAAGGGTGAAGCTTTTAATAAGGAACAAATGTAGGTGCGCATGTTTCTGGTCTCAGGAGAGAAGGATTTCTTTCTTGGCTCGTGCTTGCTAGGCAGGCTTCTGCCACTTAGGCCACACATCTCTTTTCCACTGTAGTTGCTTTTCGGATAGTCTTGTCTTTTGCTTGGGTTGGCCTCAAACTACAGTCCTTCCTTCCGACCTCCTCCCAAGTGCATTGGCTTGCCCGGCACTGGTGAGTGGCGCATGCCCACAGCCTGGCTACTCGGGCTGGCACTCTACCCCTGAGCCACAATGGCACTTCTAGCTTTTTGGTAGTTAATTGGCATTAAGAGTTTGATGGATTTTTTTTCTTTTTCGAGCAAAAATGCTCAGGGATAGCTCCCAGGCCCTGAGTTCAAGCCCTAGGACCTGCACAAAACAAAAAGGCAAAGGGCCAGGTAGGGTGACACACATCTGTAATCCTGGCTATGTGGGAGGACTCGGTAGGAGGCTTATGGCTTTTGGTCCGAGGCTGGCTCCAGGCAAGAATGCAGGAGCCCATCTGAAAATAGTACTAAAGCCAGAAGAGCCGGGGGTGTGACGCCGGGGCAGAGCATCTGTGAGAGGCCCTGAGTCCCAGACAGGACTGGGTGGGCTTGGCTGTTCTCAGACGGCCTCCCACTGCCCGCATGCCCAGGCCGACCCTCCCTCGTACGGTGCCTCAGTGGTCCCTTGAGGGTGGCAGAGGGTGGCGGGTGGCCTCCGGAATTGGCTTCCTCCCCGGGACAGGGCCCCAGACCTCCTCACAGAGACGGGCTGGTGAGCGCGGTCCTCAGCCGGGTGGGCCGGGCCCGCTGACTCGCTTTTGTCTTTGCAGGTTCTGCTTGGACTCTGCTAGACAGACCCGACAGAGGCTGTCCGTCAACTGGTCCAACTTCAGCCTGAAGAAAGCCACCTTCGCGGCCCACTGAGCGGGGACTGCCTGAGAAGGACGTGGGGAAGCAGCCGGGCTGCGCCACCCCTCGAGCCACGCCCGGCCCGGCCCCCCGCGCTGCAGGGCCCGCCTGGGGCGCGCCGGGCACCGGCCGAGGGCTCCTGGGCCGTGCGCAAGTCCTCTGCAAGCGAGCAGCGAGCGGGGCCTGCCTGATGGCTGCTCTGTGTGGGACTGGAAAGCCTCCACCCCGCGCCTCGGGGCGGGGCCCGCGTCCCCACTGGCCTCCTGACCTCTGCACCCACCCAGTCCTGTCATCTGTCCCCAGGGTGTCAGCCTGTCCCTCCGCTCCTGTGCGCCCTGTGGCCCGCCCTTGGCGGGCTGGCGGGCAGGCCGCCGCTGCCCCCCAGTCTACTGTCTCTGAGTGTACACGTTGCGCTGTGTGTGTTTGACCCCTGACTTGTAGCCAGCTTGTGTAAGATCCCTTGCAGAATGAGAACGTTAAAATCAAAAACCCACCCAGTACTCACACCATCCAGTCTGTTCTAGAGCGTACGACCGTATTAACACGGAGGCCTGCCTGGCTACTTTTTTAACATATTGTTAAGTAATATTAAAATCATGTCTTTCTTTTTGAAAGATGGAATACATTAGTACAGCAGGAGATGCAGTCTGGTTGCTTTCTGCTGGGGGCAGTGGGCGCGGGGCGGGTAGGGGACAGCGAGGATGGTGTCAGGTCCTCCACCCCCTAGAGAGCCGGGACCACCCCCCCCCCAGCAGTAGGCATGAGGAAGCAGCCCCCCCATCAAGCTGGGAGTGGTGGAAGGGAGGGCTGGCCACACCTGGGGCGGGACACTGGGCTGTGGCCCCAGGGACATAGGAGTGGGCCACGTGGGTCTCCTCAGAGCGCTCGAGGCAGGCCAGCGCGGAGCTAGGACAGAACTGGGATCTGTATAGAAGGGGGTGCCTGTTTAATCGGGTACAAACTAGGGTCAGACTGAATAGTATGTACTTAGAGGTATGTACTTAAAAGGAAACAGACGCGTGTTCCCGGAGCTTGGGAGGAGGCCGCCTGTGTTGGCCACGTGCACTCCTGGGGGCCCTGCGAATTCCGGGGCAGAGCGCACACTTCTGGAGGTGTGCATGCACTCCTGGGGCTCCCCCCTCCCCACCCCTACCCTCACCCCCGCGAGCAGGTGGTGGCTGGAGCAGCTCCGCACGCCTGGAGCCTGGGCGGGAATGCGCTCTGGAAGCCAGCCAGGGCAGCAAGTGCACTGGGCATCATGGAGTTGTGGAGCCGCAGCACCGAGGCGGCCTCGTTTATCTTGGGTTTGTCTCTGGTGGGAGGAAGGTGACCTCTCCCCACGGGGCAGCTCAAGGGGAGAAGCCACTCCTGGGAGGCCAGGGACCTGGTGTCGTTCCCTATGACACCGGGGGACCTGCAGCTATGCCGGGGGCCAGGCCACCGCGGCCTCTGCCTCAACCACCTCACCATTCACGGCTGCGCCCACTGCTGTGCAGAAGCCACAGCTGTGTCGCTGCTGCCAACATCACGGAACGGTTAGGACCAGGAGTGGAGCTCAGAAACTGACAGTCCCCGCAGTCCTGTCCTCAGAAAAAGAAAAAACAACACCAGCTGGGCATGCGGGCTGGAAGGCCCTGCGGGCGGGCGGGCGGGAGCGGGGAGGGGCTGAGGCCGTGGAGAGCGCCCAGCCCAGCGCCTGGCGGCGGTTTCACACCCAGTCTTTCCACTTAGGCTGGAAGCTGGACCCTTGGGCCCCCTCGGCCACTGCCCTGGGGGGCGGAGGGGAGCCTTGAACAGACTTCACTGAAACAAGCCAGTCCGTCAGCAGGCAGGGATGGGGTTAGGACTCAGAGCCACCGTGATGGATTGCGATGGGGAACACATCGGAGACCTCCCCCTCAGTGCTCCCCCACACACAGGCAGCAGCTTTGTGGTTGGACATGTGACAGCAAACGAGCATTCTCTCCTTCCTGACCTTACACATTCCATCCTGGCATAGAGAGGAGCTGCCCTCGGCTGCAGCTTCAAATGCAAGGCTGCTCAGAGAGGGTGCTGGGAGCGGCCGCTGTCCCGCACAGACCGCGTCCCGGGGCAGAGGAGGGGCAGGGTCCCCCACGGGACTGACGTCCTCAACACAGATGTGTCACCCACTTGTACGTGGCTGACACAGGTCACTGAAAGTGGAAAAAGCAGAGCTAAGGTTAGAGGACAAATACGAGTTTTCAAAAGCCAAGTTTCCAACAACCAGAAAGTACGAAGCATGCAAAGAAAGCACACCCATCCTCCAGCGCTGTGTGCGCGTGTGTAAGACAAGTGTCAGCTCTACCAGACAGCCATTAGAAGTGTGCTCACAGAGCTAAAGAAAGTCATGGTTAAAGAGGCAAACTGGTGAAATGGCTAAGCTATATCAGCGCAGATAGGGTTTATTTTGTTTTCCCCTGAGTCAATAGGAATTATTTTCAAAGAACCAAATGGAAATTGTGGAGCTTGGAACATAGAGGAATTAAACGAACTAGCAGGACTGGTATTGTGTAGTGACTCCTGCCCATAATTCTCTCTAGTCTACAGGCAGAGAGATGGAGGACCGTGGTTTGAGGCCAGCTTAGACAAAGTAAAAATAGGAAGATCATAGTCCAAGGCCTGCCTAAGCAGAAGTGACTTTTTTACACCCCCTCCTCCCCCAAATAAGAGCAATTTAGGAATAAATTGCTGGCGCCAGTAGTTCACCCTGTAATCCTTGCTACTCAGTAGACTGAAGCCAGCCCAGGTCCATAAAACTCTGATCTCCAATTAATCACCAAAAGCTAGAAGTGGAGCTGTGGCCTTGAGAAAAAGCTCTCAAGAACAGTGCCTAGACCCTAGACTGGCACTAAAATAACGCTACAAAACAGTGTTGAAGAAAGCCAAATCTAAATATGAAGACGTTGTTGAGATGTATGTCAGAAGTTCCCAAACAGAACAGACCCCGTTATAGCCCAACCGACCACCATGTAAAAAACGATCTGATTTTGAAATTAATGCAGCACTCGGAATAGTCAAGTTGGCCTTTCACCTCCTGCTGAAGAGAAAAACAAGTCAAAAATACGGGAACTTAGCTGGGCGACAGTGGCTCACACCTGCAATCCTCGTAGCTACTCAGGAGGCTGAGATCTGAGGATCTTGGTTCAAAGCCAGCCCAGGCAGGAAACTACGTGAGACTCTTTATCTCCAATAAACCACCAGAAAACCAGAAGTGGTCCTGTGGGTCAGAGTGGTAGAGCATTAGCCCTGAGTTCAAGCCCCATGGCCAACAACAAAAAAAGTATTCAATTTTTCTATTTTATTAACTTTTCAAACAATACTATTTTAGTGCTACCTTAAAGATCATAACTTTTTTAACTTAACTAAAGTCCACCTAATAAGTCATTGCTAACACTTTTGCTACTCATACAACTCCATTAAACACTCTTCAGTGTAACAAGATGTCAAGTGTTCTAAATCCCTAGCTGGGTGCCAGGTGGCTCACGCCTGTAATCCCAGCTATTCAGGAGATAGGTCTGAGGATAGGTTCACATCCAGCAGCGGCAGGCAAGTCTGTAAGACACTCATCTCCAGTTAACCAGTGAAGAGCCAGACGTGGAGCTGTGGCTCAAGTGGTACGGTACCAGCGATGAGTAGAGCCCAAGCAAGATCACGAAGCCCTAGTACCAATGCAGGAAATCAGATAATAAAAATAAACCCTCCAGGGCTGGGGAGGTGCTCAGTGGTAGAGCGCCTGCCTCGCATGCATGAGGCCCTGGGTTTGATTCCTCAGCACCACATAAGCAGAAAAAGCTGGAAGTGGCACTGTAGCTCAAGTGGTAGAGTGCTAGCCTTGAGCTGAAGAGCTGAGGGACAATGCCCAGGCCCAGAGATCAGGCCCCACAACCAACAAAATAAACCCTCCATACTCCCTCATATTTACCCATAGGCCTGCTCTTCATGCCTTCCTACATTCCTGTTCTAGCCAGAATCATTTTCCTTTAGCTTGAAAACTAAACTTACAGTATAAGTTTGTCTCACAGAAGTCTGCTGGCATTGCTCCTTGGCTCTCATGTCTGTGGATCTATGGATCTTTCTGTGGCTTTCAGTGTCAGTGGGGCTTGGATTTCTTGCCTGTTGGACTTGTGGTTCTAGCGTAAGTCCCTGGGTTCGAGGTCGTCTTGTGCCAGCCAGCAAGTAGCCCCTGGCTACCTGCCTGCAGCACGCTGGGCTCTGTGGGGCAGGGCTGTCTGATTCTGCCCTGGGCTCTCAACTACTCACGCATGGCCCCCCGGGGTTCCAGGGGGAGATCTGCGGTAAGTATCAAGCTCCTCGGGCTTCCCTAGGTGACATCCTCAATCCTCTCAGGACAGGGCCACTGAAATTGCTGTCTGTTCCTGCCTCTGGCAGCTGCTCCCTCCCTGGCTCATGAACATTTCAGGGTGACCCAGTGATTTGGGGGTTCTCCCTGGGTCACCTCTCTGGTTCTCAGGTCTATACGAGCAGGCACGCTACGAGCCCCCCGACCCAGGCCAGGGACGCCGAGGACTGGGCCCAACAGAAAGTAAGAGGGGTCCACGCAGACAGGAAGGCCAGTGTGGCTGGGTGGTGGTGGCTCACACCTGTCATCCTAGCTATTCAAGAGGTTGAGATACGAAAATTGAAGTTCAAAGCCAGCCGAGGCAGAAAAGTCCCCATGAGACTCTTACCTCCAATTAACCACTCAAACTAGAAGTAGGGCTGTGGCTCAAGCGCTAGAGCGCTAGCCTTGAGCGAACGAAGCTCAGGGAGAGGATCCAGGCCCTGAGTTCAAGACCCACAACTGGGAAAAAAAAAAGGGGGGGGGGCGGGGATTGGGGATGTGGCTCAGTGGAAGAGCACTTGTCTAGCACACATGAAGCCCTGGGTTCAGTTCCTCAGCACCACATACACAGAAAAAGCCAGACATGGTGCTGTGGCTCAAGAAATAGAGTGCTAGCCTTGAGCAAAAGAAGCTCAGGGACAGCGCCCAGACCCTGAGTTCAAGCCCAGGACTGGCCCAGACCAGCGTGTGAAGGGGCTGAGGCCTCCATCCCAGCCGCCAGGCAGCCCAGTGCTCAGCAGCCTGCCCACCTCCTTTCCTTCCAGCCCCTCCCCATGCCCTGGGCTAGAGCCCAGGCCCAGTCCCCTCCAAGCCTCAGGCGGGTGTCTCCAGGCAGGGCCTTGTCTCCTCCCCTCTTGGCCAGCTGCACGCCAGAGAACAGTCCCATGCAGGACGCCAGGCGGGGTGAGTGCGTTTATTCTCAAAACAGGTAGAACACAAGCGAACGTTGGCTGGGGGGCAGCAGCGCCGGAGCAGCTGTGAGCCCAGCACAGTCGCGCTGACCCACCAGGCAGGGCGCGGGCTCCTGGGGCGCCGGCTCCTGAGTCCCCGGAGCCAATGGCTTGCAGCCTCAGTGACAGCGGGAGACCAGGTACTGCCCACCCTGCACACTCCCGCCCCGGCCCGTGGTCCCCGGCCTCCTCGTGGCCACCAGGGGCCCACAGGGAGCTGTCAGGTCTGCCCCGTTCTGAGGACCCCACATCCCACAGTCAGGGAGCCGAGCATGAGCAGCACCTGGGCCGGGCAGGGCAGGGCAGGGCCAGGCAGGGCAGGGCAGGGCAGGGCCGGGTGGGGCAGGGCGGGGCAGGGCAGGGCAGGGCCGGGCACAGCGGTCACTGGCAGCACTCGGACGCGTGCCTGAGCAGCTCCTCGCCCTGCTCCTCACCGAAGCAGCGCAGGCAGCGCGGGCACTGGAGGGCGCCCTGGCCTGGCAGGGCTGTGCCGGAGCACCTGCCCTCTGTGGCCGGTGCCAGCCGCCTGCGCTCCGTGGGCTCCGATGCATCCGTCTCCAAGGGCGTGGCGGTGGGGCCCGGCCGGTGGGGGTCCTGTGGGAGAGGCAGAGGCACTGGGTGTGGCCCTCGCCACGTCTGCAGAGTCCGGGCCCCCCGGCCTGGTGCCCGGCGTCGCGCAGCCTGGGCGGCACGGGCCGTCCCTGGCCGAGCCCATGCGCTCAGGACACCTGCCATGCCACCTCCGGGGATTCCGTGCCCACCCGCGGCCCGGGGACCTAGGAGAACCAGGAAAGTCGGGGAGCTGCCAGGCATCACCTGCGCATACCCCTGAGATGCCCCTACCAAGCTGGGCAGGCAGCCCTGCAGCAGCCCCGTGAGATGAAAGGAGACAGGTCTCCAGCTCAGACCCCAGCCGAGTCTGGGTCCCTGCTCCACACTTGGTCCCAGGGAGCTGGCCAGAGGGCAGGGCCGCGATTCTCACCTCCTGCAGGGGAGGGAAGGAGGTGGCCGCAGAGGCCCAGGAGAGCCGTGGGGGGCTCGCACACCCTGGCAACGGCTGCCCCAAGCCACCTCCGGCTCCTCTGACTCTCAGAGGCACTGTGGCTGCCATCGGCATCAGGACAGGACGATTTCTGTGCCGGTCCTGGGGCTTGAACTCAGGGCTGAGCGCTGTCCCTGAGCTTTCTTTACCCAAGTCTGGTGCTCTACCACTTGAGCCACAGCCCCACTTCTGGCTTTTTGGTGGTTCATTGGAGATGAGTCCCAGATTTCCCTGCCCAGGCTGGCTGAAGATCTCAATCTGAGCAGCTGGGATTACAGACAGGAGTGCCAGTACCTGGCTAGGCCAGGGAGTTCTTTGAGGGGGCCAGGGCCTACCAGGGCCCAACTATGGCCCCCATTTCAGCACCCAGGCTCATGTGAGGGGTGCGCTGGGGGCAGGTGGCCTCGCTGGCTAGTGCAGGGCACATGCAGCCTCTCTGCTCACCACACGGCAGGGCTCCGCACCACGCCTGGCCCCAGGGCCCCGGGCAGGTGGCACCAGCCACCTTGCTGCCACAAACCAAGGTCTCAGGAGACACAGAGAGGCCCAGAGTTCTTGCAAAGAAAAACCAAAACGCTCGCCATGGGGGAGAAGCTGCGAACCTACCTCTGTCCGGGACACCTGGTACAGCAAAGAGGAGACCTTCTCCTCCAGAGCTTGAATCCGACAGTGAGCCCGCTCCCGATCGGCCCTTTCTGACTCGAAGTCCTCCTTGTAGGTGAGGATCTGCAAGGAGAGAACTCAGTTCTGCTCTCCGAAGGAGAGAGTCCTTACCGGGCTCTGCCCACTGCCCCCATCCCCGGGGCCCTTCCTGGCCCTGCCCTGCTGCCCGAGTCCCAGGACACCTGCTGCTCCAGCATCTGCACCCGCTCCCGGGCGGCGGCCAGCTCCTGCTGCGCGGCGTCACAGGCCGCGATCCTCTCCTCCAGCTGTCTGTTGAGGCGGGAGATCTCCTTCCTCGCCCACTCAGGGGCAGGGGACCCCCGCAGCCCCCTCAGCTGCTCCTGGAGCCCGCTCACGTACTCATCCCGGCTGGCATCGTAGCGCTGCCACTTGGCATTGAGGTCTTCCACCTGAGGAGACGGAGGAGAGCTCAGCGTGGCCTGCCACGGGGCTATTCACCACAGTGCCTGACGTGGGCGGTGTCCGCCGCTAATGGAGACCCCAAGATGCAGGTGGAGACGTGCCATCACGATGACACCCTACATCCGTGCTGTCCGCCTTACACAGAAGTCGACTTAGTCCACTGTCTTGTTTAAGTGTCCAAGCCAGCTGGGTACCACTGGTTCCACCTGTCATCCTAGCTACTCAGGAGGCTGAGATCTGAGGATAGCAGTTCAAAGCCAGCCCAGACAGGAAAGTCTGTGAGACTCTTATCTCCAATAAACCACCAGAAAACTGGAAGTGGTGCTGTGGCTCAAGTGGTAGAGCACTGGCCTTAAGCTGAAGAGCTGAGGAACAGCGCCCAGGCCCAGAGTTCAAGCTCCATGCCAAAAAAAAAAAAAGCTCAGGGACAGCGCTCAGGTCTGAGTGAGTTCAAGTCACTAAAAAAAAAAGTTCCATCTCATCAAGTAAAGGAGACATGATGTGCACACCTGTAATATCCCAGAAGAGGTAGGAGGACTGACGGAGGCAAAAGCGCAAGACTCCATGTGAAAGATGAAGCCGAAAGGGCTGGGAAGGTGGCTCAAGTGGTAGAGTGCCTGCCTGTGAGCGTGAAGCCGAGTTCAAACCCCAGTACCCGCCCCCAAGCCCTGTATTCCCCAAGGTAATTTGTATACTTTGGTTAGGAACAAATATTCGTCGGGCCCTGGAGGACAAGGTGTGCCCTGTCCGTCCTGTTGGGCAGAAAGCCAAGTCTCAGGGGACAGCGGACAGTCACCATGGCCTCCAAGGCCATGGCGCACTGAGGGCACAGGAGCCACGTGCCGGGGGCAGGCTCCTCTGGAATGGAAAACTAAAGGTACTCACGTGAATCACCTTCTGCCTCAACAGCCGGTTTTCTTCCTGTAACTTTCCAATGGCGGACTGGCTGGAGGCATCCCCTCCAGCATGCTCCGGCTGCGGGAGGAAGGACGGGAAGCCTGTCAGGGCCTGGAGCAGGGATGCGGCTGGGGCCACCGCCCCTGCCACGCAGGAAGCGGACCACGCCTGACAGGAGCTGGGAGGAGAAGGCAAGAAGACCGCTCTGGCCCCGGCCCACGCCCACTGGGGCAGGCAGGACCCGAGGCCCCGCCCGCCGCACCGCCCTGCCCCGCCCCTCACGGAGCACAGGTGAATGTTCTGGTGCTGTCCAGTGGGAGGGGAAGCTAGTTGCACACGGGGCCTCCTGTGGCCCCCAGGCCTGGCCGCACCTCCGTCCGAGTTCCAGACCATCGGGCTGACCCTTGCGTGCCCCTCGCCCGTCCAGGCTGAGACTCAGGAGCTGCGGGACTGTAGCAGCCGCTGCAACCGCCACAGACATCTCACCAGACACGAGTGTGCAGCCCAGAAACCACGCGCTTTGGCTGCCAGGAGGCTGCGTATCAGCCACGCGACTCAGAATTCCCCTCGAACAACAGGAAGTGCGGGAAGCCCCTGGTGACTCAGCGGAGTCTGGGCTGAGAAGTGACACCAACCGGGAGCCGGACAGTCGCTGTGTGTGCCTACCTCGCGCTGACCGCTGCATGGCCACACCCAAACCCCAAGGGATGTTAGAGTGACAGGCTGGGACACGGTGCACCCACCTGAGCCCAGAGGCCCCTGGCATTTCCTGGCAGGGCCGCTGGTGTCTGGGGACACACAGAGCAGTGCAGAGAGTGGCGGAGGGGACGCTGTGCCTGCAAAGCAGCCTCGGGCTGGCTCAGGCTTTCCCGTTTCCACAGGCCCCACCGGGAGAGGTGCTCCACGCTGTGACCCACGGCACCACGACCCACGGATGCCTACACCAAAAGCCTCGGCCAGGCGTGGCCCTGACCTGCGTGCACACCGCCCCACCCAGGGAGCGCTGCCCGCCCCACCGCCCCGCCCAGCCAGCGCTGCCCGCCCCACCGCCCCGCCCAGCCAGCGCTGCCCGCCCCACCGCCCCGCCCAGCCAGCGCTGCCCGCCCCACAGGTCCCGCTGTTGCTTGTCTGTTGCACCCTTGCACACCTTTCATGGTGTCCAGCGGGGTTCACACCCGGAGTGTGTGTGTGTGTGTGTGGTTGCTGCTGCTGCATTGTTCTGGTCCTGGGGCTTGAACTTGGCTTGCATTCTCTCACATAGCTTTTTTGCTCAAGGTCAATGCTCTACCCCTCAAACCACATCTCCACTTCCAGCTTTTTGCTGGTTAAGTAGATATTCACATGGAGCTTTCTGTCCTAGCTAGCTTCAGATCTCAGCTAGATTTATAGGTATGAGCTATCAGCTGTGCACACACACACACACACACACACACACACACACACACACACACACACCAATCCTGGGCTAGAACTCTGGGTCTGGGCACTGTCCCTGAACTTTTATGCTCAAGGCTAGAGCTCTAGCACTTGAGCCACAGCTCCACTCTTGGCTTTTTTGGTTGTCAACTGGAGATAGGCATTTCACAGACTCTTCTGCCTAGGCTGGCTTCAAACCTTGATCCTCGGGTCTCAGCTGCCTTCCGAGCAGCTGGGATGAGGGCGTGAGCCACTGCCGGCTGGTTTCCAGTCACAGAGACACAGAACTGCCCCCGAGGCCAGGGTGAGGAGCGAGCTGGCGGCCACCACGCTGCTGTCTGTCGTCTGGGAGGCTGGTCTGGTGGGTGCGGGCCTGGGCCTGGGCCGGCCCTGAACCCTCAGGTGTGTGGAGCGAGGAGCCTGCAGGGCACAGCGCTTGGGCCTCCCCGTGGCTTTAGGCCACACTGTGTGTGTGGAGCTGGGGAGGCCCTCCCTCTCCCTGCGGCATCACCTAGCTCTGCCTCAGTTTCCGAGTCTGTCCAGCATGTGGTGCAATGCCCCGGCATATCCTGGGAGCAGCCGCTCTGACTTCTCAGCCTCAGCGGGGCAAAAGAGACCAAAGAGCCATCGCCCAGCCAGAGTCCAGCTCAGGCGCCAGCAGGGCTGGGACTGCAAGGCAGGCTGATGCCACCAATCCCAGGGGGCCGCTCTGCGCCGCCGTGGCCTCTCCTCACTGAGGCCAGGGTGGGCCGCGGCTCCCTGACCTCGAGACGCTCCCACCCGCGCGCCACTAGGCTCTGCAGGCTGGCTTACCTCAGGGTTCCTCCTCGCCACCTCCCCCTGCGCGCGCTGCTGCTCGGCCAGCCGGCCAGTCAGATGCTGGCACACGTGGGTGGTGGCGGCCAGGGTCCGCTGCAGCTGCTGGGTCTCAGCAGCCAGGGAGCGGCACAGGACGCGGCTGGCGGCCTGGGCCCTTTCCTTCTCCTCCAAGCGCCTCCGCAGCAGAGCCACCTCCTCTTCCCTCACGTGCTGAGGCTGGTTCAGCAGCTGCCACACCTCCCGCTCCCTCTCTTCCAGTCGCTCAGTCAGCCTTTCAACCTCCTAAAGAGATCGAAAAGCACAGCTTAACCAGACTCGATGCTTCACATCTGCAATCCCAACACTTGGAATAAAGAATAAAAAATGGCTTCTGTCTGTAATCTCAGCCACTTAGGAGGTAGAGGTGATAAGGATTTGTGGTTCAAGGCTAGCTCAAGGCAAAAAGCAAGACCCTCATTTCAGCAAATAAAATAGGCACCTTGATACAGATGTGTAATTCTAGCTACACTGGAGGCCTGGGAGGACCAAGATCTGAGGCCAGCCTAGGCAAATAACCTAAAGTCTGGGCACGTTGTGGTTCACATCTGTGACTCCTCTACCTAGGAGGTGAAAATCAGGATGATTCAAAGTCAGATCAGACAAATCACCATGAGCCCATCTTAATGTTTTTAAAAATAAATAACAGCGTAGTTTGCTTGGTTGAAGAAGCATGCTGGAAGCAAACGCTGCTAAACCAAGGAAGGCCTGACAGATCTGGCAGGGGTAAGTCACCACTAGATCACACACAAGGAAGGCAGGTTTTCCAGCTAATAATTAACCTAGCAGTTCTTCTGGGTTTTATAATGTTCTGCTCTGAAACTTCATCTACAATTCTGGTTTCAAGCTGGGTGTCAGTGGCTCCTGCCTGTAATTATATACTCAGGAAGCTGAGATCTGACGATTGAGGAAAGCCCATGAAACTCCTTTTTTATTTTTTTTGTCGGTGGTGGGGCCTGAACTCTGGGTCTGGGCGCTATCCCTCAGCTCTTCAGCTCAAGGCGAGCGCTCTACCACTTGAGCCACAGTGCCACTTCCAGTTTTTTCTTCTTATGTGGTGCTGAGGAATCGAACCCACGGCCTCGTGCATGCAAGACAAAGCACTTTACCACTGAGCCACCTTCCCAGCCCCGTGAAACTCTCATCTTCAATTAACCACCAAAAAACCAAAAGTGGTGCTGTGGCTCAAGCGGTAGAGCACCAGCCTTGAGCAAAAGATGCTCAGAGACAGCGCCCAGGCCTTGAGTTCAAGCCCTAGGACTGGCAGAATGAATGCAAGGCTGGCACCAGCTCCGCTCAGGCTCAGGCCGCAGAACCTAGGCGGGGGAGGGGGGGTAAGGACCCCTGCCTGCAGCGGTCTCCAGCCCTCAGCCCACCTCCCGGCCCCGCCCATCGCCGTCATCAGGCCCCGCCCCGGACAGCCCCGCCCCTTGTGACAGGCCCCGCCCCGCCCCGGCAGGCCCCGCCCCGGCAGGCCCCGCCCCGGCAGGCCCCGCCCCCGGCAGGCCCCGCCCCGCCCCTGGCGCAGCCCGGCCTCGCCGGCCCCGCCCCGCACCTGGCGCAGCCCGGCCTCGCCGGCCCCGCCCTCCCGCCGCCGCAGCTGCTCCCGGAAGCGCGCCACCTGCGCCAGCAGCGCGTCCACGAGTGACGGCGCCGCGTCCCCGTCCAGCGCCGCCAGGCGGGCGCGGAGGCGCGCGATGAGGGCGTCGCGGGCGGCCAGCTGCTCCCGCAGCCGCCGCAGCTGCTGGCCGGCCTCGTGGTACAGGCCGCAGAGCGTGGCGGCCGCGCAGGGGGCCGCGTCCCGGGACATGGCGACGGGGCCGCCCGGGGCCGGCGGCCGCAGCTTCCCGGTACTTTTCCCGGCCCGCCCCGCGGCGGGCCCCGCCCTCCGAGGCCCCGCCCCGCCGCTGGGGTTCGCGGCCGGGCCGCCCTCGCGCGGTCGCGGAAGCCGGGCTGGCGCCGGGCGGCTGCGGGGCCGCGGCCCGGGGCGCGGAGGGGACGGCGGGGGGCGCCCCGGGCGCTGATCTGAACAGCCTGCGCCCTCCCGCCCAAGTGCGGGTCACGGGGTGGGGGTGGCCACGGTGCGCGGGGTCACGGGGTAGGGTGGCCACGGGTGCGCGGGGTCACGGGGTGGGGGTGGCCACGGTGCGCGGGGTCACGGGGTGGGGGTGGCCACGGTGCGCGGGGTCACGGGGTGGGGGTGGCCACGGTGCGCGGGGTCACGGGGTAGGGTGGCCACGGGTGCGCGGGGTCACGGGGTGGGGGTGGCCACGGTGCGCGGGGTCACGGGGTAGGGTGGCCACGGGTGCGCAGGGTCACTGGTGGCACAGGTCTGGATGACCGTGCATTGTCTGAAGCTGCTAAGTTTGAGGGGATTTGTTGGCGTAGCCAGAGAAAGCTGGTTCCGACCGGGGTGGAGAGAGACAAAGAGGAGTTCATGATCGTTACTGTGGCTGCCGTGTGACCCGAGTTTACATAGTATTGTGGTACCAAACCGTAGTTATTGACCTAAATCGAATGGTGATTCCAAGGCACTGGGGTCAGGAAGCAGCCGTGGAGTGCTGTTGAGGACCCCCACCTCTGGAGATGGAAAATGAGGAGAGGCCAGCTTTGTACGCCGCCTTGCGAAACCGAAGCTTTTTAGGTTATCTGTGTGTGCAACTGATTTAGAGTAGACAGTAAATGGAAAGCTCACACCAGAGGCTTGTGCACAGCTTGACCTTGTTTGTAACTGGGCCAGGCAGGAATGTGTTCTCAGAACCACCTCACCCCGAGGGTGCCCGGAGTCACGGGCACCTCCTAAGCGCGGTGTAATAAGGAAGAAAGGATTTTGTGGGCCAGGCCCGTGCACATTGCCCAAGGAAGCCTGTCACTGTTGCGTTGTCATACCTAGGGACTCAAGCTCAAAAGTCAAAGGGAAATAGGTCAGTACACCTGTCATATGTAACCATCTGCCTTTTCTTTTCATCAGCATTCAAGTCCCTCCCCTCTATTTTAAGTCTTTGATTTGGCTGAAGTTTATTTTGGCAAGAGGTGGGAGGGTCAGCCGGACAACCCAGTGTTAGTAAGAGCGAGTGGTGATAGCTCACCTGACTTTGCCTTCAAACTTTTACAAAGTGAAACAAAGGCAGCCCCATTCTGGGCCTCTGTGGGAGCTGGGTACGGCTTGCCAGCCCAACTTCCTGGGTACAGACCCTCAGCTAGCTACCTGGCATGAGCCTTGCCCTCAGAGCCAGCTCCTACGCCTCAAAATGGGGCTCATCCCTTCATAATGAATGCCTGCGGTAAGACAGGGCAGGGAGTGTGAACAGTGGTGTGTGCGCCTGTGTGTGCTGGCTGCAGCCTGTCTCCACCCTGGCGCGGGCCCTGTCAGTGCCACCAAAGGATTCCAGCACATTCTGGAAGGGGACAGTGCACAGAAAGGACTGCAATGGATAGAGTCTGTCTGATTGTCTTCAGGATGGTATATTTGGGCTTTACTTGTGTGTGTGTGTGTGTGTGTTTGTGTGTGTATCTGTGTCTGTGTGTGTGTGTGTGCGCATGCATGCGTGTGTGCAAGTCCTAAGGCTTGAACTCCAGTCCTGGGCACTGTCCCTGAGCTTTTTTGCTCATGGCTAGCACTCTACCATTTGATCCATACTGCTACTTCCAACGTTGTTGGTGATTAACTGGAGATAAGAGTCTCAGGGAGGACTGGGAAGATGGCTTAGTGGTAGAATGTTTGTTTACCTACCATGCATGAAGCCCTGGGTTCCATTCCTCAGTACCCCTTATACAGAAAAAGCCAGAAGTGGTGCTGTGGCTCAAGTGGTAGAGTGTTAGCCTTGAGCAAAAGAAACTCAAGGAGTGCCCAGGCCCAGAGTTCAAGCCCCAGAACTGGCAAAAAAAAAAAAAAAAAAGGAGGGGATGGGGGATGAGGGAATGGTCCTCCAGTGGCCTGGCTGGACAAGTGACCACAGGTCTACTGGGACTCATGGAGAGGTGGCAGCCGGTCCAGGATGCTGGCAGGCGACTCATACACTCCTGCCAGGGCCTGGAGGGCAGGTGTGTGAGGGAGGGCCCGGAGTGCCCCGAGAACCCACAGGACACTCCCTGCATCCTCCTGATCCTGGAGGGCTGGCCGCCAGGCCTTCTTCTGTGGCAGTCTCACTCTGGGCTGGGTCCAACAATGCCTCCTTCTGGGATGGTGTGGAACTTCATGCTGCTCAAGGCCAGCTTCCCCTCCCAGCCGCCGGGCTGGTGGGGCAGGGGTCCGAACAAGGGTTTGCGGGGTGCAGGGCAGAGCAGGCAAACACTGCCTCCTGCCCGCCAGGGGACCAGGGCCGGAAGTGAGACTCCCAGTAGAACGTGTTGCTTTCAACTTCCAAATCGGGCTCCGGGGGCTGAGAGTGGGCATGTTTGGATCCAAAAATAGAAAACCAGTGTGTGCTGGGGCCGCCCCACTCAGTTTTCTGGGGAGGTCTGAGGACCCGACAGCCTCTCAGGGCCGTGCTGCTGCCCACGGCGGGGTGGCAGGCGGCCCAGGGGGCGGGTTCGGGAGTGTCGGCCAGCCTCGGAGTGACGGCTCGGCCCAGCCCCTGGCTCGGCCAGGACAGCCTGCCCAGGTTACGGGCCAGCTCGGTCCCGCTCTTCTGGGAAAGCCTGCTCCAGCTTCTGTCCTCAGGCTGGCCAGGACGCAGTGCCCGTGCTGGACAGGGCAGGCCGGCGAGGCCAAAGCTCGCAAGCCAAGAGGAGATGGGCCCAGCGCCGGGGTGTCTGGTGTGGGTGACTGGGGGGTCCGAGAGACGTCTGCTCAGCCTTGCGCCTGCGGGACCTGAGCCGGGCGGGACCTGAGCCGGGCGGGACCTGAGCCGGGCCCTCTCCACCCCTCCACCCTGCACCCGCCCTCTCCACTCCCCCCTCCCCACCCCCTCCACTTCCCTGCCTCTTCTCCACTCCCCCTTTCCAATCTCCCTCCCCCCCTCCACTCCCCCCTCTCCACTCCCCCCACCCTCTCTAATCCCCCCTCCCTGACCCTCTCCTCTCCACTCTCTCCCCCTCCACTTCCCCCTCCCCACTCACTCCACTTCCCTGCCCCCTCTCTACTTCCCCCTCTCCACTCCCCCTTTCTACTTCCCCCACTCCCTCTCCACTCCCCCCACCCTCTCTACTCCCCCCTCCCTGACCCTCTCTTCTCCACTCCCCCCTCCCTGACCCTCTCTTCTCCACTCCCCCCCCCCCCCGCCTTCCCTCCCCCCCCCGCCTTCCCTCCCCCCCTCCCCTCCCCCCCCCCCCAGTTCGGTCCTCCCCGCAGTTCGCCCCCCTCCCCCCGCTCTGGTGACTCATCCGGGGTGGGGCCTGTGCGGGGTGGTGGAGAGGGCGTGGCCAGTGGGGGAAGAGGGCGGCCCGGGGAGGGAGGAGGGGCGGGGCCCTTGCCGTGTGGGTGGGGCTGGAATGGGCGGGGCCCGCGCCGTGTGGGCGGGGCTGGAATGGGCGGGCCCGCGCCGTGTGGGTGGGGCTGGAATGGGCGGGGGCCCTAGCCGAGTGGGCGGGGCTGGAAGGGGCGGGGCCCTTGCCGTGTGGGCGGGGCTGGAAGGGGCGGGGCCCCCGCCGTGTGGGCGCGGACGCGGCGCCTGACTGCGCGCTGGGAAGGCGGCTCGGACGGGCGTCGGGCGCTACCTGGGGACGCGGGGCCCTCCGCGGGGCGAGCCAGTGCGGTAAGACACCGCACCGGGGCTGGGGCGGGACGTGGACGTGCGGGACCCCCTCGCGAGCCCTGTCGGGGCCGGGTCCCGGGAGCGTGTCCCTCCTGAGGCGCGGGTTCGGGGCGGGGGGCGGCCCGGGCGCGGGGCCCGCGGAGGGCACTTCCGGAGGCCCGCCGGGGATTCGCCCTCTCCCCTCACCCGAACTTCCCTTCCCGGCCGGCGGGGCGGCGGCTTCCGCTGCGGGCGCACCTCACACCTGGGTGTGCGGGACCAGGGTGCGGCCCGGGGGAGGGGGGGGACGGGGCCGTCCGCAGCCTGCCCCTCCGTCCTCTTGGATGGACCTGTGAGGTCACGTGGGGCGCGGATGACCAGGCCCCCGGCAGCGCACCTGCCTGGTGGTGGTGGTGACGATGATGATGGTGAAGATGGTGATGATGATGATGATGGTGATGATGGTGATGATGATGATGATGATGGTGATGATAGTGATGATGATGGTGAAGATGGGGATAATGATGATGATGTTGGTGATGGTGATGATGGTGATGGTGATGGAGGAGGTGAGCAAGGACCTCGTTCTGGGCCCGGAGCAGAGCTCTGGGCTTGGGCCAGCCCAGTGGGGATACGGGGTCACCGGGGCAGGTGTCTGTCCTCGCTGGCTCAGGCTCTGCAGGCGCAGAGGCAGGCCTGGGCTGTGTCCCGAGGCTGGACGGGACATGGAAGTCCAGGGTTAGCACTCCACTCCTAACAGGACCAGGACTGGGATTGCGTCTAAGGGGATGCACTCCCACCCCTCTTCCGTCCTCCTTCCGCGTCTGGCTGCTCGTCCCCTGGCCCTGGCAGAGGAGCGGACCACAGCTGACCAGAGCCGACAGGTGGTTGTGTCCATGCTGATCAGGGCCTGGCATCTTGCAGGCATCCCCCAGGGTGCCCAAGTCAAGGAAGAGCTCCCAAGGAGGCCAGCGTGAGAAGGGCAGGAACAGGAGGAAGGGGACTGCACCCCAGCCTGCCGTGCCCTTTCCTGTCCACATGGACAGAGGAAGTGAGGTGCTGAGTCAGCCCCCAACACCCAACACCCCCACACAGATGCTCACGCACTTGCAGGCCTAGAAGGCTGCAGTGACCAGCCTTGGTTATG